ACAATGCCACCGACGAACTACATACATACGTCCTACCCGTCTACTGTCAGACCTAACATGCTCTGGGTGTTTTAATCCACCCGCACACTTTTACGTGGTTGTTCTGCTCTCTCTACCTCAGCAAGGCGACGAAGAGAATTCGTTAAGTTAAAAAAATAGTACCATAACTTTTACGTGGTTGTTCTGCTCTCTCTACCTCAGCAAGGCGACGAAGAGAATTCGTTAAGTTAAAAAAATAGTACCATAACTGACAGGCGGTCGCAGCTACTACTTACGGTGGAGGGGGCCCCACAACATGGTTACACGGACAACGGGCGGATGTACCCCTTGGCCGAAGGGAGACGAGGTGCGCCGCCAACCGGTCTCGTCAACGCCAAGCAAAAGCCAACCACCACCATGCGCGCACCTATTGCTAGCTAACATCTAACGTGCAATACCTACCACAAGGTCTCCGTGTTTCGCCTAGTGTATACGGACAGACTTGGCGCCGCACGGAAACGGTCCACTCGAACGTGGTTAGTTACCAGTTCATCACAACGAAATTCACAAGGAGCCCGGGCGATATATAAATCAAACAAGCAACAGAGAACCACAAAAAGAAAGAGCCATGCATATCAACGGATACAAAACAGACAACGGCAATTCAACAACCATTACGCGAAACAACATCCCTCCAAAAACTTGTGCGAAACGCCAAAGGAGTGCGGTTGCAGTTGGCGGCACGCGCGCTTCGGCTGCCGCACCGTTAACAGTATTTGTACAATAATCGGGCCATCCAAAAACTACGGACGGGGGCCTGCAGCAAGTCAAAGCAGCACCCCCTCCTAGTCATCAAACCATGAAGAACAAACAAGAAGGCCGTACAATAGCTCCTCATCTCCCACTCGGATACTTGTACAGTTTCTAGGGGGAAACGATCCAAGTCTCTCGCAAAACCTTGTTACAAACAAAGAAGTGCTCGAGGTTTTGTTCGTTGTTTCCCCAGAGTCGGCCCTCTTCCATCTTTATCACGCCGCGCGTCATCTCAGTCGGGTCCGTCGGTTCCCAAAACCGCGACCGTCCGCCAGCCAGAGCTACGCGCGAAACACAGGCAACCAACCTCGCCTAATCAATATTGTACCCCTTAAGTCACGTGTAGCAGGGGGGGGGGGGGGGGGGGGGGG